CCGCTTTAATTTCTCTGAAGTCACCCCTCTCATAGAACCCTAGTTTTTCTCTTCTTAATTCCGTTTTTTGTTGTTTGAATTTTCTCTCTCTTCTTTTTTCTTTTTCAGATCATGTGCCTCCATCTCCTTCCTCGACCACTTCCTCTGACTCAGTCTAGATACTACCTTCTGCTCTTGAGGCCGTTCCTCTCTCGATTCTTTGCCCCGGTGATACTGTCCCTACCTGTGTCTTCATAGCTCGTGTTGCTTCTTCCAACTCCGGCGACACTATGGATAATATCCTTCTCTGCCGTCGTCGACCTGCCTTTGGTTCAATGGATGAGCCAGAGGAAGATGAAGCTATTTCTTCTCAGCCCACTTTTCCCGCATCTTCGACCGTTCCTCCTTCTTTGAATTCTCCGCCCAAGCGGTCCTCGACCAAGAAACCTTCCAAACGACCATCTTCTATCTCTCTCTCTCACCCCTGGTTTGATCCCGAGAAAATCGACCAACCTCTTGGTTGGGCATTCATTAGATATTCCCCCTCCGACCGGTATGATCATCCTCCGCAAGGCTGTTACCCTTTCTTCGAGGTCCAGTTTAAGCTTGGGTTACGTTTTCCTTTGAACCGTGATATAATCCGCATCTGCGAGTGGTTCTCGCTTCCCTTGCATCAACTTCCTCCTAACGCCATCCGTTTCATCACCACTTTCATCATCCTTTGTCACATCCGTCTAGGTCGATTCGACCTAGACTTCTTCCATTATTGTTACTGCCCCTCTAAACTGGGCCGGGGTCTTTATTTGAAAAGCCGCAATGGTGCGCACTTCATCAATGACATCCCCTCCAACCTTCCCAAGTGGAGCGATAAGTTCATCTTCGTTCGACCTGACGTCCCTTTACCTTGGCCTTCCATCCCTTGGGTCAAGGATGTTTCGAAAGAGGCAGCCTCGGCCCCTCCAGCAAACCCCCTCTTCGACTAACGGATCCATACTTGGAATTCCAAGACCGTTGCGTCTGAAAAACTTCTCAAGGACGAGAATCTTCTCCATTTCTGTGGTCTTCTTACCCACAAAACCCTTTCTCCCCCTACCGAGGAGATTCTCGATCTTGTTCGCCTTGAGGATGACCCAGGTAGTTCTCG